CAAATTCGGAATTCTTTGCTGCAATCCTTTTAAAATCATAACCGTCCCAAGTTTATGAGTGCCTCAAATAGCTCCGGATCCAGCAATCCTATGAGAATCACTTTTTTATAGTTCTTGAGGCGCAAGTCAAAGTCGTTGGCTATGACGTTCAGTGCTAAAAATATTTTGAGTTCACCAGGGCGACCAGAATTTCTTGTCAACAAACATAATGAAACTGAACAAAGTCTATTCTAAATGTACGTGCCATGACTCCCCAAGCCCTTTTTTTACATTTTTTAAGTCTACAGAGTATTTCATATCACAAGAGGTTTACTGATGCGAGAGATTATCAAGGTAACATCCTCGGAGACCCAGGGGCTACTAGCCGGGACCAAGCGATATTTTCGGGCAAAAGTTTTCTTCAAGAGCAACTATGTCGACCGAACGTGGCAAGGATCGACTAATTGCTGCTAATTACAATGCACGCACCTTCTTGCTATCGCGCCAAATGAAAAATCCCTTAGCAATATGGCTGTCAACAGTGTTGGGCGTAAATTCCCCAGCAACTTTAATTTCTCGTTCTGATCTTTCTCTAGCTGTAGTCTCTAGCTATGATCTATCGCTGTTGCCGTTCAGAAGGAAATTCAGGTAAAAATTATATTTCAGGCAACCATAATAATACTACTGCATAATCATTAGGGGAATTTTCAATTCCCCAACAATATTTCGTTTCCTTCGCTTATCCAAACAAACAAACCAACACAATCTGCAACAATCGACCTCACACTGTGGATTTATCGTACAGAAGGCGAGCTAAAGTTGCAGCCGGTAGGGTGGGCGAGTGGTCTAAGGCGCTGATTTAAGGCACCAGTCTTTTCGGGGCGTGCGTTCGAATCCCACCGCTACCACTTTTTTAGACCAATATTTGTTGGCTGTGAAAGTAAGCTTTTTAGACGCAGAATTTTCTTTTTAAAGAGTAATAAGCTTTGAATTACCCAGTTACAAGGAACATTGGAATTTGTTCTGTTGAGGAGAAGAGAAAGACGAACGGCTAATGATCGAAGTTACATGTACACTGTAAGATTATTGATTAAAGTGAGGGAATCTAAACAACGGTCTAAAATCACAATAGAGAACTTAAGCAATGACGACCGAGACCCCGAGGACAACGCCTAGTAAAATAAATTTATATTTTACCTTCAAATTTCCAAATTGTCTAAATCTCTTCAGAGCGTCTATTGGTCTCAGAACTTGCTCAAGCTAAATATGTAGTGCCAGCGTCCAATTCCAAATAAATATACGAAAAATAAGCCGCCGTCGTTCGTGTTCTCCAAAATACGCAGAATTTGGTCATTTCACGTTGTTGTTGTGCAGAAGATGGCAAAGGAATGTACAACGATCTACAGCGCTCGTGCACAACCATTGTTCTACTCATTAAACGATTTGTTTGGTGG